CATACCACCGTAACCGATTGGTCCAGAAGTCTCGACGTTGCGTGACACTGGCATCTTGTTAACGTAGTGAGTGGTCTCCACGCTCCTGCTGAACGGTATCATGCCTTCGGGACCAGCCGACTTGCCGTAGTTTCCGAAGTCACAAAGGCCGTGTTGCAGTAGAGGATGACCTTGTTGGACGGGTTGGTAAACCGGTTGGGGCACGTACACGGGCACAGGCTTCTCGTAGATGATAGGTTGGTACACGGGCTTGGGCACGTACTCGACATGGGGTTTCTCGTAGTAGATAGGTTGGTACACGGGCTTGGGCACGTACTCAACATGGGGTTTCTCCACGTATTGCGGCTGTTGAACGACGTATATCTGAGCGGGTTTTTCCAATTTTTTGTGCAAAAGCGAGAAGGTCCTGGCCTCGGTGGCCTTTTCGGACTTTCCGTCGGTGGTTTCCTCGAAGTTGCGGTTCACAGTTGAAGCCAACTGTGCCGGTTCGCCGCACACCGTTGCCTTTTGTCCATCGACGGTTGTTAATGTAACACAGTTTTGCTGTTGACCGTTGGCCGGTACATCCCTCTTGCTCCGATCTGAGTTGCTGGAGTCGGAATCGGCGATGGACTTGTCGCCAAAAGCACTGGCGGCCAAACAGACGAACAGGACGAGAGCGACGGCGAATTTCATCATGTTGACGGGACGGCGGACGACACTCGAAGTGACCACTGACTGTTTTTGGCTGTTCCACAACAGGTGTGCCAAGTCGTTCGATTTTGCTGATTGATCAAAAAGTGCACTTACACGCGTTCGTTTCACAATACAACGACAAATAATCAACAAAAACTGACGTTGACGATTACGAAACACCTATAATTATTATGTTCAAGTCCAAACAATAATGTGTGTAGTTTATAACTTATACATTACACATTAATTCGATGACGTTTACTATACATAAAAAAATTTTAAGATTTTAAACAATTCGAATTTTGCAGTTGTTTCCTACATTAGTACGTATGTTATTATAATAGGTATTCAAAACACTTAAGATGTATTTTAAACACGTTTAATGAATAATAAGGTTCTATAAACAAGAAGCAATTTAATAGTATTTGTTTTTTCACGGGTATTACAATATTAGTATGTTTAAACAGTTATCTTAGTTAAATAATTGCAAACAATAGAATGATATTGTTGAACTATTGACAAGACAAAAAAATACTTACCGTAACACTTTGCACCTGACTTAACAATACTAACTGTTTGGAAGGCAAGAGTTGTCACTTGTAATACACCCTTAATAGGAAAAAATGATAAATTCAGCGCATGATAGAATAAAAAAATCATAGTTTAAGTGCAATAATCAAAAAAAGAATCATAAAATATAAGTGGTTATTTCAACTTATCTCGAAGGCAATATTAAATATGGGTAATATACTAATTACTGCCCTTTAAAGCGTTAAGTTTAATTAATTTTATAAGTAGGATACACGATTAACAATGATTGATTTTATTAAAAATTTATGAAATTTATTTATTGAATTATATTAATTTATAAATAAAACAATATTTCTTTCAACAGAAATGGAAAAGATTATTTACACTTTAAAATTTGAATGATTTTTTAAAAATCTTATTCTTATCAAAATTATCTACTTAATAGCATTTGAGCTGATAAAAACGTACGTTTTACCTACGAAATCTAGTTTTGATAAAGATAAATTAAGTCATATTTAATTGTTTCATATAATAGCGATAACTGATAAGCCTTTATTATACATTCGATCAAAAATAGTTCAAATCTAATAGTTGTTGTTAAACTTACCCGAATTTCAAAATTTTTAAATTATTAGAGTTTATTTAAATAGGTTTGTTAACATTAGTTTTATTCCTTAGATACTCGCAGGTGTAATCTATATTTTCTAAAGCTCAGTTAAACAACAGCATTTGTGTATGACACAAATCACTATTTAAACCCCAATAAATATTATTATATTCATTTTAAAATATAGTGAACGTGTTAAATATAACACGTATAATATAGTGAAGTATTAACTTTATATTTAATGTTTAGATCATAAGTATGTGCTTCTTATATTATTTTCATATTATGTTATGATTTAATACGAACTCGCAATATCTTTTTTGGTGTAGTACTAGTTGTCTGTAATGCCGCATGGCAGCTGACTTCAGTGCTAAAGCTATGTGTGCTAAAAGTCATATGAGTCATTCAGAGAAATAAGTAAACGACATTTATAATAATTTAATAATTTATTAATCAATACAATAGCGTAAATGGTATAATATAGATTTAAAGCAAGAAAATTATAAATTGTTCTGCTGACGCTAACAGTTTGTATAGATTGACACGTTTACACAATAATATAATGTTTAGATAATAAATAATAGGATTTATGTGTTATTCGAACAACGGACGGACGTTTTAGTCTTCAGTAGATACGCTGTATACTTTTTCAATGGTCGACACGTCCTGATCGTCGACGTCATCTTCGGCCGAGTCGATGGCAGATTCGGATGGGGCGGCCGTCGCAGATTGATCCTCGTCGGCTTGTCTGGGCTCCAAGTGCTTTGTCGATTTGCCGGACGCTTCTTTCTCGGCTTCCAAGTGGTTGGACACTGTCTGGTCTTTGGCGTTCAGTGCTTTAGTCTTGTCGGCGTCCAAATTTTCGGGTTTTGTATCGATGACGGCCGGTGACGCGGAGGAGGCGGGGGTGGAACCGGCGTTAACTGAGCTCGTAGCACCACCGACGGTTGCTCCAGCCGTAGATCCTTTCAGGTTGGAGAATCCGGCCAGTTGGTCGACGAAAGCCGGGTTCTTGTTGAGTTGTTCCAACATGAGCAATGCTTGTTGTTGCTGGTAGTACTGCTGTTGGAGTTGTTGTTGGAGCGCCAGGTATTCCTGTTGTTTGCGCTGTTGTTCTTGGTACAGAGTCTGTTGCAACTGTTGTTGGGCCAAGATCTCTTGTTGCGCTTTTATTTGTTCGTAATACTTGGCCACGTCGGCGGCGGCGGCGGCTGTGTCATTGGCGCCTCTGCCTCCGACGGTTTTCTCTCCTGGTGCCGCAGACTTGCTGCCAGTGCCGGTACCGACTTTGGACGGGTCGGTCAGGCCCGGAGCCGGAGCCGCGCCTCTCAACGGGTTGTAGGCAAAATAGTTGGCGAGTCCACCGAGGCCGCCGGCGGTGTTGGACAATGGTTTTGGCTGTTCTTGTATGCTGTTCAGTTCGTTGGACCTGCCCAGCCTCTTGCTGGAGTCATCCAACTGATCGTAGTAAGACGGGTAGTAAGCTTGTTGGGCAGCGGCGGCGTTGAGCAGTGCCTCGGAGTACTCTTCCAAAAAACACTGATGGGGTTTGCCGTGCACCATCAATGCACCGACGCCCAGGGCGCACAACAACAATGCGTAAGAGCTCATTTTAGCTTTTTGTTACTTAAACTCGACAATGAACAAGACACTGTGTACTGACTATGTGTTAATTGTGTATTCGCAGAGATGAAACTGATGCTCGACTAATCTCCGTACCGGCTATTTATACGACACGGTCTAAGGTTAAGATAACTCATTGTTTAGTAGTCAAGTCGAAAATACCAAAACTTACATGTCGCTCCGATCAAAGGTGTGTTTTTATCCAAAACAATTTTCTGCGGGATGACCTTAAGCCGACAGAGTTAGTAACAATAATTTTGCATCACGTAGTGTCCTTGTACGCGTAACACATTATTTTTTCGGCTAGTCGTACTGCACAACAATCGTATTTAAATTATTTACATTTTGATATTATTATGTCAAGTTTTCCGCACTCCAAACAGGTCGTGCTAAATGCCATTTATCTACCTATGATTCATCGCAATGCTAGCGAATAGCGATAGAGAAACGATTTTTGCACATCAGTCTATATTTTGATTCACAGAGTTTACGTAAAAAGTTATTTTTCAGAAAAACGATAATAACATTTTAAGTTTAATCGACCAAACTTTTTCTGTACTAGCCTAAATGAAATTAATAGTATAACATATATCTACTGAAGTAGGTCAAATTACTTAGCAAAATAATAACTTCTTGAACTCAACACATTATTATTCCTATCTTCCAATAATTGAAAATAAAAAATAAATAAATAAGTAGTTACTATGTTAACAATAGACAGATATTTTTGAACACAGTTGATCAATATAGTCTAATATATACTTTGATCTTAGTTTTTTCTTCTTATTCTTCAAAATGTTTTAAACTACAAATCGTATATGACACATACCTATTAATAATATTGTATTATTGAGGTACTTAGATGAAGTAATATTTGCTATTGAAATTGTTATTCTATAATTGCAATTATTACAGTTATACCTACAAAATATAACATTTAAATAAACTTTTTATTTTTTGCTTCAAAAAGCGTACCTGGTACAAAATTATAAATGTATACCTTTTATAATATGTAAAACGTTTGGATATGTTGTATGGTGTTTTTTGATAAATGTGTAATATCTTAAATTAAAGTATAGTCTAGTTTTAAATAAAGTATGGCATATAAATTATAAACTGAGATTTATATTTGAAGTATAAAGTTGTTGTAAAAATATCTCTAATCTCTAAATAATTACCTTTAAGGCATATATATTTAAAGTCTTATAGGTACTTTTTAATTGCAATTATGTAAGGACTTAATGAGAGAGAGAAAAAGAGAGGAAAAGATAAATGTAATATACAAGAAAACAAACAAAGTAAATGACAAAATTAATATAATTTTAACATTTAGGACGTAGGTAGGCCATTTCCAGTAATTACAAAGCTTGAAATAAATTTTAAACGTGAAACAATATTTTATTTTTTATAAGAATTATCGTTCATGATAATGATTATAATTATAATATATTATAATAACTTAAAAGTAAGCAACTTTTAAAGTAGATATATATTTATTTTTATAAATATGTATAAATTATATATACATAATACATTTTTGTACAAAAGTATTAATTATACCGTAATTTATAATATATTATGAAAATGTAGAATCTACAATGTCAAGCATTTTTTCTTTGAATAATAATACATTATAATAAAAGAAAGAAGCATTATAAATAAAAATTATTACATTTTACGTACATCTATCTATGTATATTATAATACCATTATATTTAAGTGATTATTTTTTTTTTAGCATACGAAAATGTGTTAGGTGTGTACTGTGTTTTGAATAACATTATCTAACAGGGTGATGAGTGTAATAGTGAAACGTTAAAAAACAATATGATAAACTGATATTAGCTGTGGTAATATTATATTATATGTATGTACTACATTCTAACAGATTCACTCTCCGAGTGCTCGTCATTATTATTCTAAAATACACCATCTATGTCAAGATAAGTCTACATGATATTTCGAAAATAAAACACACGAATTGTACTCTTTGCGAGTTATGAACACTTCAAGTATAATTTTTTATCTAATTGTATTAGTGTTTTTAACTGTATTGCTCTTAATAAATCTTAATGTCGTCGTATCGTTCGAAATGTGAGAGGGTAAAGAAATAATTTACTATTGAAGAAAAACAAACTTACAGTCCTAACGAATATAACAATACCAGCAAAATCCTATAAACTATAATTGAAACAAATCCGATATATTACATTTAAATCTGACAGAAACATTATGTTAAATAAAGTTTAGAGTTTAGACCAATAATTTAAAAAAATCACGAAACTTAGCGGTACCTATATAAGATTATTATTCTACGAAGAAAACATATTGACCGTGTGATAACATAAAACACCAAAAATTCACAGTTCCACACCGAAATCACAAAATCATTTTGCAGCATAACGTGATAGAAACGTTATCAATAATTTTAAAAGTATTTTTGTTGGTATCGTAAGTACCTATATAATAAAGTTATATATATATTATGTATATATAAAATATTTATACATAAAAAAAAGAACTTGTGTATACTACGCTAATTATTGCCATAATAATTTACTAAACATAATCGTTAATGTTTAGCTTTGATATGGTATTAAATTGCCACTGTTACTAGACAGAGATAGTCATCTCGTCATTTATTATTATCAAGATTCACATTATATCTTTTGAGTTAAAAAAATGTATTTATATAATAATAATTATATTAATATATATAATATATAAATATGTGCATTGTATTATAATATCATGATAAAGGCGCGAATTAAATATTAATGAATTCTAATATTTGTTTTACCTTTAAAATAGATAAAAGAAGAAATTTGATGAAAAGGTTTGTTAAACTCTATTACATGTACTTTTGAACTACATCACATATAGAAAAAACTCAAAACATAATTGAGCTTTTATCGTACGTTAAGTTATTATAAAAACTTCTTTTTCAAAACAATATTTTAATTTTAAAGAAAAATAACAAAAATTAAAAAAAAAAATTAATTAATTTGTTAAGTTATTTGAAATTATTACTGGAAATTATAATATTTGCAGTGTAGTGTGTATTATTTTTCCTCTTTGAGGATTGAATTTTAATAAAGTATACATCATTAAATCACATTCATATTTTGTGTCCTTATATCAATTAATAGATATTGCGAATTAATTTTATACATATTATTAGTCTTACGTATGGTTAATATGAATATCACATGTTATAAAAAAAAAGTAATAATAATCGTAATAATAAATAATAATAATCATAAAACAATATATGCTTAACAGTGTAAATCAAAAGCAATCAATAAAGAGCAAACAAGATCTTATTTTTATTTTCTTATTTTTTATGAACCACAATGCTACAAATGTGTATAATAAGTATACCTAATTAATATTTATGTTTTATAATAAAATTAATGTCTACAATGACCTTACAATTATGCTATATATTTTTTGGTATTTTTAAAATTGTATTAGTTTTAAATATAATTAATATTAATAAATGTAGATTTTTAAACTTAAATTTAAAAGAAAAAAATGTTTCATTTCCACAATAATTGCAGATCTGCATTTTTTTAATTATAATATTATTATTATTAATTATTAATAATTAATTAGTTAGGTAAGAAAGTATGTACACGTTTATAATATAATTAAACCGTACCGTTACAACAATAAGTACATTTCGTTATGGTTATTAATAAATGTATTCGTTTTATTCGCACTGAACAATAACTATTATTTTGATCGCAATACAATACGGATATTATGTGATAAATATTAAATAAAGTTATCAAACTATAAATATCTGTTGTTACATTTAATTATTGATTTTGTGTTTGAAGAAATCTGAGGGTATTTTTTTTAGGAATGTTTTGAAGATTACTTAAAAAATATAATATTATTAGTGATTGGATTTAAAAAAACATTAAATTCACATCGAATATCCAAACACGTTATAATTTAGTATTTTTTAATTTTTTAATTGAATTTAAATGTTTCACAAAATAAGTAACTTGTTTCTAAAGCGCGTCATTAGAATAGATTTTTAACAGTTTATTTAAAAAGGAAGAAAATGTTTATAAAATCGTTAATGTAACAATCGTGTACTTAAATAATTTGTCTAAGTAATTCAAACAAAGACAACAATCGTTTGAGTAATACGTTTAAATTATCTACTTAAAGTATTGAACTGGTCGAACGAGTTGTAATCAATTTAGTCTCATAACACGAAAACAAGGACTGAACAACTAATTTGTATTATTTCAATCTGTAAACGTATTAATTTTTCCATTTATATCGTTCGAATCGGTAGAGTAATTGTTTTTTAACAGAACATTACCCTGTTATGCTGTATAAAAAACAATCATATTAATAATTTGTTTTTGATTTTTACTAAAACGCGATTCGAATACATTATATTAATTATTAATTATACTAGTGCCGGTAATAAATGTACATAATAATGTATAGACACGGTGAATAAAGTCTAGGTCGTCATTAGTATTGATATCATTATACCAACAAAATATCGCGATTTATAACCATAACGAGTATAATATTTGGTGTTTTACTTAAACATGTTGTTACATATACATAATTTTAAAATTTCAACAAAACGATTGAATAGAAACCAAACAAAACAATACTTACAAAATAAATGAACAAAAAGAGGAAGAGAAAGTATGAAATTCAACTATTGGGGAATTATTAGAATTATTAATTAATTATTTTATTAATTATTAATAATTTAATGATAAGTTTTAAAATTGTAATAACAATAAAATAGTTTAACAACAATTATATTTAGTTAAATATTTGGGTAACAAATGAAAAAAACAAAACAAAAAAATTCATGGCAAAGAATATTTTTTTAAAAATTACATAACAAACATAATAGTTGATAAGTTTTAATAGTATTATAAATTGTTCGTTAAAAAAAAATCGTGTATGATTATTATATTATAAATAATAATAAACAAAAATTTATAATAAAAACAAAAGAAATTAAATCTAATAATTTTAAATACGTTTTGAGAGTATCAAGTATAAGTTGTATATAATTAATTTTGTAGCCCAGCATTATTGTTTTTTTAAAATTTATATTTTTAAAATAATCAAAATGTACCAGTTGGTTTGACTAAATATCTTAATATCTGCTTGTCTTCGGCATTGATGAACATTATATTTTACATTTTCCATTAAATCGTAACAATAACATGACGTTAGCTTAGGACTAGAGCATTAAAATACAGAGTAATACCAAAACCCTTGGTACGCCTTATTCATAATTTCATAAATTTATCGTTAATTATTTAATTACTTATTTTTATTTTATTCATTTATTGTTCGAACCGATGATGACACAATCGTTTAGCTATTATCGAATGATTTTTGTTTTACGCCCAGGATCTCAAATTTGAATAATTAAAGGTAGTTCGTTAATGAACAATTTAATATAATTTAGTCAACCAAACGTGTTTTTTTTTGAAAATATTATTGTTGTCCTATTTGCCAATCAGATAAATTATGAGATCTTATTTAGTAGTCTTGATTTATAAATAATTTAATATTATAAGTAATAAATATACGACCATATTTCAAAAAAAAAATATCAAGAGGGACACGCATTTGAATTGTTTTACTGAATGAGTTAATTGTATAGGGATTGTTTTATATTAGGTATAGGTAAATTATTATTACAATAAAATTATTAAGTTCTTATTTAAAATGTACAAGTACGCTTGGGTATTTTCGTTTGTGTATAATAATAAAAACCCTAATAAAACAAACGAATATAATATAATAATCATATATAATAATAATAATAATAATATTTTTGTATAATTATCTTAAATACTAAAGTTTTTATTACTTTTTATAATATAAACATTAATATTATCATTAAACATGTTTTTTTTTATTGTATTCATAATCAGTATAATAGTATTATACCATACTATATAGAAACTATTATTATTAATAGCATTCTTGAGAAATAAAAACCTTTGGTGTAAGTGAGAGTGAATGAGACGTCTTTTTGCATCTTAAGTGATAGTTGTGAGTTATCGAGCCAATCATACGAATAGGGGCGACTAATATTGTTCAACCTGAAACAGATTTAAAAAAAAAAGTTAAACACAGTTTACTAATACAAGGCAAACTCCGTTAAAATTAATAAACCAATCAAATTAACCTTACCTTACGATGGCAGAAACTTATTGACTCTGGCGTTGTTCAGTGGTACCCATTGGTAAAAGCGGCCGGAATCAAAGCTCCCTGGAAAAAGGAAAAACATCGGTTAGCATTTGCACGCGTAGCAATATATTACGGTATCCTACAATCATCGCTAAAACTAAGTTACATATTTTCTCTAAGGGTAGTAATTATTAAATTAAAAGAGGTAAGGCGTGTTGTACACATGCTGTAAAAAATAAACTGCACTATGCACGACGCACTGCAGTGACCCAAAGTTATATACCGTACTTTCAGTCAGCATGAATGGTTCAGACAAACGTGTAAACAATTACTTCAAATACTGTTATTAACTTCAATTTGTAAAAATTGTATGCCACATGTATATGATGTGCCGTTTAGACACCGAATATTTTCGTATCTACTAAATGAATATAAAACAGTACAAGTAATTTGATTTAGTTATGACAAATATTATTGTTTGTTCAAGTATTTATTTTGATCTAGAAAAATTAATGAAAAATTAATATTTTAGTCGGTAGGTAAGTTTAGTTTTAATTATATGACGTGCACGGTCGAAATGATACGACTTAAGCCTATGGTGTACGATGATGAATATAGTTTTCAGTTGTTTACTTATGGTTATTATATTGTAACGGCCAAACGTTAAATCGTTTATTTACCCACTTCTGCACAACTAATCTTTAGGTTCTAGGTAATTTTTCAGAAATTCATGACGGTAGCTTTTTGTTTTAAAAACTAATTGGGAAGCTACTGAATATGTATTATAATAAGTTGTCGGTCGCCATTTATCTGTATGTGTTATCAAAATCATCTATACGTTATTACCACATTTAACACCCATTATTTAAGTAGTAGACGTCATATTGTATGATCTAATGTTTACAAATCCGTTATAAGCATATAACGGTGCGATTTTTACTAAACAACAATACTATTATTACTAAATATACCTATATTATATTCTATTATACAGGTAAACCACAAATTTCTAGGTGCGCAAGTTATCCTAATGATCGCGACGGGTACCGCCGCAACAGCTGTCGCCGCGGCATCTCGTAAACGCGACTACTACTGCAAACGCTAAGTGTACAAATCAGCCAGTACAAAAAAAAACAATTTTATTATTATTATTATTATTATTGTAATGGGGTTGTCGGACAACAATAAATGCGGAACGCAAAAAAAAAAGGCAACAACAAATACGGGCAAGGCGTATAATATTTTACTACAAATATACTACGATTAGTAGCCGGGTAGTATATTATTATTATGTATTTAATACGATACGTTTTTATTATTATTATTATTATTATTTCTGTGTGTTTTTTTTCCTTTACAAACCCTTAGATTAATCGGAATATATACCTACAGGATTGTAATTAATGGGCGCACGTGAGACGGCGATTGCGGGAAACGCGGATGGTTGAGGCGACGCTGCCTGCACGTAGTCAGCCGGGTTTGAGCTGTAAATGTCCATGGTGGACGGGGCGCCTGGGCCGGGCGACGTGGCCGGCGGGAAAGCGGAGCCCCGAGGATTGCCGGGACCGCCGGTATGCGGTGAAGCTGGTGGTCCGAAACCTTGGGCCGCGACCGCGGCAGCTTGATGATGGTAATTGCTCATCACTTGAAAAAGAAGACACACAAGGAATTGTTTACAAAAAAAAAAAAAAAAAATTGTACGCAACATTATACTATGAGAGTAGTTTATAACGATATAATATACATACAAATTGATATATTCTACGATTATCGTTGGTCAATGGTATGAGGACGTCCTCCCCTCCGGAAACCCTGGACATTTTTACTTCTTCGGAGTTGTTTTGCAAAAAGGACCGAATGATTTTTATAATATGGCGATTTTGGTTTATGTTTCATTTTTTCTCTACTCCTCATCGAGGGTCTATATTATTCCCTGTCAAATTTCAGTTTAGTTTTTTAACCACCTTTGAATTTCTAGTTTCCGAATGGTCCTTATCTCAAATTTAAATTATACCTGTATGATTGTTGCTTATAAGTGATGAGTAATGACTAATTACTATTTAAGTAATCCCTGTTTGACTTCCCGAATTTCGATAACCAATAACACTATAAAAGGTTCTTATTATGACCTCATATTTTACATATTTCTAAAAAAGAGCAAATTTTAAAAAATAAAATTCATTTAGCGGGAAGAGTCAAAAAAATATGTCGAAAACTGTCCAAAGTTCCCCAGGGTAAGGGTTAGCAATAAGAAAAAAGTTGGATTGAGAGGACTATGGTGGCCGATTCTATTTATACGAATCGGATGAATAAGAAGAGGTAGATGGACACAAGTAGGTGGGAAGCAAATTGTATCTGCCAATTGAATAGCCTAGATACTCTTAGGCTATTAGGAAAATAACCTGAATACCTAGGTAAGTAAAGAGTCTACAGTTTGCGACCACCACAATAATAGTAATATATTATAGCTAAAGCTTACAGACCAACGATTCTGTGTTTTATGTTAAGTATACAGAGAGAAATAAAAACAAGTTCAATTGGAGTTTTTAATAATTTTATCAGAGTACAAGCAAACAGAAAACAAATTAGCAGTTATAAGCGAGTGTTAAAACTTGTAAGCAGAGTCTTGGTCGAATAATGTGTGTGTGTTTAAATTACCATATAACATTTTTTTTCTTTTTAAACAGTAAAGTTTACATATAACAAACACTTTTGCCAAAGCCAGGCAGATTAGTATACACATTATTTAACACGTCTTGATCAAACATAAATGCCGGTTGTTATCTAAAAAAAGGTATCTTGTCCTCAGACTGATATTGTTATATTTATTTATACATCGGACGACTATAATATTATATTACACGCAAATAATTTTTTATTTAACCCAATGGCCATAAATGGAGAGGTTAAAAGAATATTTTTTTATTGTATAAGTATTAGACGAATTCAAAATGAATTCTTGTCCGATATAACTAAACAACTAAACTCTTAACGTTAACGTTAACTTTTTTGCTCGCCGTATAAGAAAACGTCCCAATATTATAATAAAATACATTATAGCTCTTGTGTACTTGCCTAAATGTATGAATACGCTGAACTATAATATAAATGCACACAAAAAGATATAGGTACACTAGATTCGTACTGAACGGAAGAAAAATAACAATAATTTCAATGAATATGCTGTATGACCGAAATTCAGTACCTACTTATTAGAGAATGTACAACTATCACACGTTGTCGTCAAAAACACACGGCTTACCCATTGCGAAGGTTTGCGACCGTTTCAACCAGAAAGAAACCATATCAACAATTAAAAAATTAAAAATTACACTAATAATACGTTTACGACGTTGCTTGGTATGTACCTGAAAGGGCTTGTGTTAGCAGCGGCGTGTTATTGTTTGTCGTTAACTGGCCGTTAATTGCCAGATCAACTGCAACGTCACATGAAACATAATATACCATATAGTATTACAATATTACAAAATTACACTATTTAACCAAAACAAAACGGAGAGTTCGGCGACAACAATTTTAAGTCGCCTCGGCCAAACACTAATTTACTATTTTCAAGTACCTATGTACAAATTAATACTCAAGGAAGACAAATTCCGAACATCTAGATAGAACAACAACATCACTATTGTCTAGTACAAACATTGCGTTGTGAAGTAAACTTTTAAATTAAACAACTGCAAGTATACACGTGACAAAAAAAAAAAAAAATTCTATAACGACTCTGCAACAGAACCGATCAAAATGCGATTATTGGTGATCACATGTGTATCTATAGACTAAAACTATATACACGGCTAAAAATTGGTCCCTACACAAACAAAATTGACCAGTATACACCTACACCACATACCTACTTTCCAGTACGGTACGCATTTAGAGCGTATATTGAGTGCGCAGTAAAATTATAAAAGTACTAAACTTTAGACCGTAGAGGTTGTGTAAAGACTGAAGTGCGTGGTTTTTTCTGTACATATACCGTCGGTAACCCGATGTCGATTTTACTTTGCACAGTTTATGGATGACGATTATTCAGTCTAGAAATTGTGATATTATAATAAAGGACCCCGTTTGGAATTGTATACAACACTCTACGCGTCACGGGCTAACAGGCCGGAAGTTTGGAAAAAGCTCAAAGGGACCACACGTACAGGTATATACCGTGTAACGGGCAAAGAGATGATTTTAACAAATGACTCGCAGACACTAACGATGACGTATTATGGCAGCGCCCCGACGCGACGGTTTATTACAATAACAACGGTGGCGGCGGCGATGGAAAACCAAATGTAACCAAAAACACACGGCATATTATAGGATACACCGAAGCAGCCTCTACTACCGTCGTCATCTTTCACCGGTACACGGTCAAAATATCATAGCGCACACACACACACACCACAGCTCACGTCATATTGACTGTCGTTCATTTGTCATACCCCTCGTTCCCTCCCTTCCGCTTCCCCTCCGCAGAGTCCTGGCGCGAAAAGCTCACGACGAGTGCTGTGTCATTCGCATGTAATATACAATGTTATACAAGTGACGTGATCCTATCTTTACACATCTACCCGGACGAAGAATGGGTATTATGGAAGACATCTACCCACTTAGAATAATATGGACAAATCATTTTGTTTTCGTTTATTTTAAAAACAAAATATTATTTACTTACAAAGTTTAGTGAAAAATATATATTTGATTTTTGATTTTAGATTATAGAATAGCGTAGTTAAGGCGGACCGATTCAGTAAACATTTTTTACCGCATAAAAATGGATATAACACGGATGATATCGAATACGTTTCCTTTTGGTAATTGGAAAACGGGTGGGAGTTGTTATCGCTGCGCTATGACAACTGTTTTCTCTAATTGCTCATCTACCCCTCTGCCTCCCACCTCCTATAACGGGTAGCAATCGAACAGAGCGGCGTGGTGTGTTTTATTATTATCTTCTGGCGATAAACATAATATTATGACTATATGAATATAATATAGACTATAACAATGTAATTATCCAAATACATTAAATTTTATTTGTTATTAGATTTTTTTTTGTTTGTGTAGCTTGAAAAAGTTTATTTAATGTACGTTATTTTATTCCTTGTATTTTAAAATGTATTTTTCATTACATAGACAAAATAGAGGAGCCTAGAATGGCATAGCCTCCCCTGATGAGGCGCGGAATTTTCTTCCATTGTCTCTACTATTTAAAGTAGCTACTGCCACTGTGTCTCCCCCTTCTCTCAGCCATCCTATTTATTTCTCATCGTATGCAAAACAGAAACGCTAATCGCTCGGAATCTTTACCCCACCGTGCCTATTTTATATTGTTTCATTTTGTATACACCTAACACCATCGATATCATTCGTTTTTTTTTCATACGGGAGTTCTCACAACTAATACGCATTACTTAGCAAGAAACCACACACGAGTGTAGTTGCTAACGAAGCAATAAGAAAAACAATAAAAACCCATTATTTATTTATTTAATTGTTCTGAATTGGCGAATCTAATGTTTCTTGACGGACCGGTATCGTATCACAAATTAGTAGCATGTTTATTAAAGTTAATAAGACAGCCTTAAATATTGAGAGTCCCGAAAGAATACGCGCACAGTCCATATAACTGATTTTAATTGCAGGGAATATAGAATATTAATGTACCGCTAACAATCGCAGAATTGTTAACCGAACCTCGAGGGATGGCGGTTCGCTATTAAAATATGTAAATATCGCGTTTGAAAAAAAGGGGAGGATTAAGTATTATATTCCGAGAAAATGATTTAATAAAGAGAAGAAGTTTCTTTTTCCTTTTCGTTCAATCGGCTTTATACATGCATCAGTTTATATTATAATTGTATTTTTTTGCTTTCCAAAGTTTCGTACCCTCCAGAGCGGAGTACTAATTGCAAATTATTATAATTTCAAATGAGGATTAAGAAATCCACCCCAGTCAAGCCCGAGCTGCTACCGTGCCCACCCACAACAATTTATTCGGTACGATTCCGCCGCCACTCGTTTATTCATCCGAATATATAATTAATTTTTAACAATTCAATTTCGTTAATTGCTCAGTATGCCGACCGAACGGGAAAAAAACAAAAAATTAAGAAAACAAAAAAATTACTATACGACGTCCTAAGTAACGCAACGATTACTAACCAGGACTTACCGCTCGTGCCAGAAAATTATTATAATTTTAAATCAGTACAAATCGGTCGGACGCGGTCAGCAATAGAAAACAATAAAAGGCGCGTTGGCGTGAACCGCTTTACAACGGTACACGAAAACAAAGTACATATTAAATATCGTTGTAACTTGTATAATATAGATAATCTTAAAGAAAAAACAATGATAAAAGAACAAATCAAAGTAGGAGACAGTAATACCCAGGTGTAGAGGGCTATTATTACACGGTTCAAAACCCATCGATTATACATCCATCAAAACGCTTGTCTGACAAGTGACACTGTATGTGCGTATGTGTGTAACGGAAGCAGCCGAGGGAACCAAAGTTATTCAAAGTTCGAATCACCGTCATAACAATGTGAACGTTCGTAGTAAAACGGATGGACGTCATTCCTCGTGTCAAGCTAAATATTTGCCTAAAACCCTTTTCTCAAAAGCTCCGATTGATAGATGAATCGAACGAGCGGCCTTTTCTTTGCGGTGACATCAGTTCGGCACACCTGACTAACGCAGGTATGCCACACACCCAGTGTATTTGTGTTAGTAATTAATATTGTGTTCCATACCAGTTACACACCCCCCCCCCCACCCTTCAACGGACCACCGACGTCGCCAGAGAAGTTAAACGGCTGATATAATATCTTCCTGGGCTACAATGCGTTTTGCCTAGCCGAAACGTTACGAAGATAATATATTATAACTAATCAAAAAGATAGTTTTGTAGGTACATACGTTTCACAATCATTTTCCTGGGTTTAACTAGTACCCGGTACCTCTAAAATCCCACCATACTGTTATTTACAGAACTTAAATCACAGTGAACCGAACCAGAAATATCATTTAATCGAATTGGGTTATAATCGTATGTCCCGGCGCGGATGGAAAGAGATTTACTCGTGACGAATCCAAAAACTGTTAAGTTAATGTGGTTAAGTTAAAGTAGAAAACAAGGCAAATAGCGCTTACAATCGCATAACCAGTGTCAAGCGCCATTACATTGCCGTGTAAGTTAGAACGGGATGAATGGGGATGGTTGTACCGTGGAGAGACAATTATCCGTGTGTACTACAAGACAGCAGACGCGAGAACACCAAAGTAGTGGACGAAGAAAGAAAGCGGTGTGTTTATAAATAATGCGTGAACTTCTGAATGGATGAGAACAAATGAGAAAACTTTAAAACGGCGAGTAAAGAAAATCTGAACAAAGTTTACTCGGCGCGAGTACATATTTCGTTGTTTTTACTATGACGAGTTTATGTGTGTTTTGGACTTGTCTGCGATAAACTTCATTAGTTTAATGCGCTTACCTCCACAGCCGAGTGCTGATACGAGTCAACGAACACAGAACATTTGAATAATAATTTTACCAAACATCAAGAGGAGAAGTGGTGTGGTGCAAATTAGTCGGGTCCGTTTAACAAAAACTACACCTTTCATTTTGAGAAATGCAAACCCTACGAGTAGGTATTTTTGTATTTGGCCGGAGGGTGAAAACGTACTGTTGTTGTGTAACGGCGGTCGTGCCGTTCGATATAGGCGGATGAGCTCGCCAAAATATGTACACCGGGTAATAAAAATATTTGCCGACAACAAAACATTAATATTATTATTCGAGACCTTGTCTACGGCATGTGCTCTCAAATCGCCTATATAAAACGCCATCAGCAAACGCGTCGGAATTCGGTAAACGCCGAAGCAAATAAAATAAAAACCCGAGGGTAAATCGCCGGAAAAAGTTATAATAATATGTACATCGGATTACAGATAACAATGAGATTTTGAAATATTTTAACCATCGACATTCATAAAGATTATCAAAACTATAATAACATTAATTTATTAGTTACTTTTGTTATCAAATGATTTTATTTGTATGGCATTAAGAAAATCACGATCGTATATAATTGTTTATATAATATAAAATATTATAGAATGTAAATTAATTTAAACTCATAAGCGTGCGGTGGATGTGTAATATATTAGTTATTAGTTTATATATTATAAAATATTAAATTGTAACTGATACCTAAACGAACGTAAACAAAAAAAAGTGGAAGTTATCAATTCTTGCAATACTTATTCTAGTAAAAAGATGTAATACTTCCGAAATGATTATAAATAATTTTGTAAGGTTCCTTGAGTTTAAACAATGATTTCTGAACATTCTGTACGCCGATTAGGGATTTACCCTTTAGAAAAAAAAAAATCTCAAAGGTTTGCCTCGCTCTATATTATATTGTTTGGATAAATTGTTTTCTATTTTATTTTAATGCGAATAACATTTTGATAACAGACCTGCTTCTGCTGTAACTGTTAGAGCTTTATGAGAGAACGCTTTGTTTAACAGTAATGTGAACATTAACGAACGTGGGCACATAAAAAGCATAACAACCGCAAAAACCCTTTCCCGTTCATCTGTTCGTTGCTCGTAAAATGCATAAAACCACGAAATCCACGCAATTACATTTTTTCCTCCCCCAACATAAACAATAATAACAATAATAATATGATCGTTTATCAACCAGGCTAAATCGAATGAAATAGGGACCTATCCTACACCACTGCATTCCTACAATAAAATGTTATATATTGCGCAAGTAGGACGCATACCCCAGCGGATATAGAAAACATAATATATTTTGTAACAACAGAATCGGATATAGGATTTTTTTTCCATGGTCATCAGTATCATCACATTATTATTATTTTCGAATAACGCAAAAACGGGCTAAGGTTGGCGACGGTGGGCTGTTACATTAATGCATGATCACGGATTTGACGATGAATTTTGCTTTTTTTTTTACCGTTTAAACCTTCCCCTTTTTGCTTTATGCTCCCCTCCCTACTATGTACACCCACTGCCTCCGGATCGACCAAGTGAAATAGGTGGAGAAAGAGCGAGAGCGCGAATAACAGATAATCAATCATCTCTGAGTCGTCCGGCCGGCGTGTCCCGGAATTTGTTTGTCATCGCGCCAGCATCTGGCGAAATAAATTAACTGAAAATAATATTCTGAATAAATAAACGGCGACAATGGTTTATAGCTTTATTTTTTAGTTTAGCCCATCCTAATGTGAATATTATCAACCATCTAAAAAAACTTTTATAAAACCTACAATAGCAGCAGAGGACAAATTATGGGTAGACCAAAAAAAAATATATTTATTTTGTTTTGTTTTGTACTTAGTCGGTACGACCCTTGATTTTACAGAATTATTAATTTCTTAACGGACAAAGGTCGACAAAAATCGAGTACATATTTATGTTATTTCTTATGGAACTTACACAAAACCTTTCAGTTCTGTTTTTCATTTTTAATCACTACGTCACGCGCTTTATTTTTTTTTATAATAACCGTTGAACCTATATTATATATTATGTATGCGTCCAACTAAAATGTAAGTGTTTGTAAAAAAAAAAGAATGACAAAATTGTATAGGCTGTAGATATACATTACTATACAAAGAGCAAAACGACCAACTAATTAAAAATTGTAATTATATACATTTAAGTTACAAATTCTATTAAAAAAACTAATGTGTGTGTGATTGTATACGAAACATGTGTACACATAGGTAGTAATAATAATATTATATAATATATTAATCTAAAATATTCGCTAATCTAAAAATACCTAAATGTATAATACTACCTACATAAAAATATATTATTAAACAAAACGTAATTATTATTAATAATAGCAACTAATATTACACTATAAATAATGTGTTAATAAGTATTGTACGCATCCAATTTATTTTCTTATAACGAAAAAATAATTATTTAAAAAAATAATTAAGATTAATATTTATAATTTATTTATTATAAATAATATGATTCATGGATAAGATGTTTTGCCATTTTATAGTACAATTTATAGTGGAAACAAATTTAGACTTTTATTTTATATTATTAAATAATACTATTGTAAAATAATTTACCAACAACTGTTAACTGTTACACTGTACAACGATTTTTGCGCTTTACGTTTTTTACATCAAAATGGATAAGTACAATACTTTTGTTTATGATAACACCTAAAATAATATTATACAATACTAATTCAATATACACAATACACATGATATTAATAAAAGAAAATACACGCTACCACGTAGCTATACACTATTTGTTTTGCCTGGCCAACAACTCTGCCGGTGGAAATGGAATATTATGCGAAGTTTTACATTCATAAGCTGCGCACTTTGGGAAATTCGATTAAACTTTAACTTTTCAATTATTCCAAGAGCTAGAGAATGAAACACTGATAAAACTTGCAAACGTGCGGCGAAAAGTTATTCGCCAGACTTATCTCTCTCTCTCTGTTCTCTTTTTACTCGGCGTTGTTATTATACAGACAGAAACAATCAAATACATAAGGGGACGAGCAACGACATAAAATATAAGTACATGTACCGCTAAATAATGGTAATAATAATATATATATATAATATATATATATATATATATATATATATATATATTTACTTGCACATAAATAAAATTTTCATATTGAATATTTACTCGTGGTCTATATAACGGTGAGCAGAAACAGGAAACATCTGCGTTTTCTTTGAAACGTTGCGGTACACCGCCGATCGAGAGAGCACAGGCTGAGCTACCAACCTATATATTGCTTTATTTTCGTCGTACAAGAATATTATGTATTTGTACACATAAATGTGTATGTTATGGCATACATACAATCGGATATTGACACAAGACAACCACTGCGTACAGTATTATATAGGCGTATTGCTGAACGGTCGTTTTTCCGAGATAAGAGACAGACACATGACGTGTGCGTAAACCAAACCGTCTCCGTCGTTACTCAGTTATGGTTTTCCCCCTTTTTTTCATTTTTGTTTCATCCTAAACGACCGATACACTAGTGACGTATGTATTTGTTGAAATAAAAAAAAATCAAAGTAAAAAAAAATACAAAAATGTAGAATCGCAAACAAAAATATAATATATTTTATCCACAAGACTCATCCATCATCGTAACGCAAATCCTACTCGAATAATACGACACGTACTCGTTATAATAGCTGTATTAATATCGTTGTTTCTTTTATTTATACATTTTCTTCTCTGCCTACTGAAGGGCTAATTTTAAAATGATATGTCGACGAGAAGAAAGTGCAAGTAACACGGTACACGGTGTAAATACGGCAGTTGTCGTTGTAATATTTTAATCTATGCGACACACAAATCAACTGTACTATACTGCAAGGGATTTCGGGTCTGCTATAGTATGTGTATGTAAGTATATATTTTTATTGTAATATTAAATTATTATTAAGCTCTACAAAATAATACCGATTACAGTTGGCTAAAATAACGCAGTGTTGTATATCACACACTAATCGTTTTTATGGCAGTCAATGGTAATCAAAATATATGAACAGCCATCCCTACAGAAAACAACGGCGGAGGAGGTCGACCGACCACAGGTGGACGCATAAAAACACCCGTTTTATACCTCTAAGCCTCGTGCAAATAACCTATTAGCATTATTGCTCATTATCTTTTAATAATATAATATATGAATATACATAGATAAGCATAATAGTACTGTTGTTCGCGACACACACGCATTGCACGACCGAATCTACTGTTTTATGATTTTAATTATATTTATTTTAAATATTGTAATTATACAAAAATAAAGATGTTTAAAAACGAAAAACGTATGATGAAAATTTACCGTTATGGCATTGGGCCGGAGAAATACCGCAACGAGGTCTGGTCCCGATTATAGCGACCCCTACAAAAACGTTAAAAAAACAAAAATATTTGGTATTAGAAATATTTTTAACCGTTTATGCATTACATTAAGTTATACTTGAATCTATGACAAACCATTACTACTCTAAAAAAAAAATATATAATATTGTGTTTATTTGTATTACATAAAGTAATAATTATTCAGGCAAATGCAATTTGTTTTGTATGAGACTATACAGCTATAGTATTTCTGTATTATAATTGTATTTATGTAACTGTTGACTAAGTGGAATGGTCTATAATATTGTAAATTAGTAACTTTAAACAACAACGGTATCGTAACGCTTGTCTGCTAACTTAAACATACACGAACAGTGACTTGTTACCATGGGGAAGATATAAGGACTTCTAAAACAAACACAGAGATGTATACAATATGAATCTGACGAATTTTGGAAACTACCTATACACAAAAGACGTCGTAGCCAGTAGAGAAATGGATGAGCCTTTGGTAATTTTAACGAAAAAAAATAGCTATTAAAAATAAAGAAAAATAATTAAAACAGCCTACATGAATTAAAAACATGATAGTTTTGATGGTATTATCAATAATTTATTTTTTTTAATTATACTTTAAAGAGTAATAATAATTATAATAATATAATATAGTATATATAATAGTAAGTATGTAACATAATAATAGTATTATTGGTACAGGGACGTAAGTGAGCAGTCCCTGCAATACATTGTTAGAAAACATTATATTATGTCATTATGTGACATTACAATAACTTGTTTAGTACAAACATTTTTTTAAGATCCAAATAATTGTAGTAAACAACAGCGACGATCCTTGTTAGGACGTTTTATCTTATTTAACAATGATATTAATAATTATACATAATGTTTTATTGATTATTATATGTTTTTTTTTCTTTTGATTACACTAACACTAATTTATTGCATATTACTATTTAATTATATTTTAACATAATTGCAAAACGTTATTATTAACTATTATTACTGGGAACCTTCACTGACCGAAATAATATTTTATACTAGTCTCTAGTCGGACCCTCGAGGTCAAATAAATTACACGATAATTTTATTTTTTCTAAACATGTTTTTTGTTTTCAATTGTTAGGATTGAATGAACCATGCTACTGTGAACTAATCGAACAAAACAGACGGTATTGTCAAAAAACGGGTGTTGTTGAATTTAAATCGTTAACAGACAACTTATTAAATTAAATACACTACCGAAATTAAACGGACTAAACATTTTTTCATTTCTAAACAAAAGTAAAAAGAGAAATTATTACAGAAAATATGAATGATATTAATTTAGCTCGGTGATGACAAATACAATTTTATAATACATATAAATATAATGTACAACTGTATAGCAACTTATCACAGAACGTTTGATTAATTGTATTTATTAGTGAATATATACATATATATATGTATACATATATATATAATATATATATATGCGCAAAATGGTTATGATATTTAGGGTACGAATGACTCCGACGGTGGGTGGTGAACTGTAATCTTTCCATAACATGTATTTGAAGGACGTTGAAACAATACGTGTAAGTACATTAAAATAACAATAATTAATATAAAAAAAGAGAATAAAAATAAACAATAAACAAATTAAACAAATAAAACAAGGAAAACAATATTCCATTAGGAAGTATGAATTTGTTTCGTATGTTTACACACACACAAGCCTATAAATTCATAATAATAATAATTGCAATTTTACTAAACGTTTTGAGATGTTTTAACTTATTTTATTTATTTATTTTTTAATTAAAATTGAACATAGGTTTTAATTTTTTTACTTGTTAATTAAAAATTATCTAATGTAGTAAATTATCGTATTATGAGAATTAATATAATTATACATTCGCTAAAAATCTTCTAATATAACAATACATTATATTATACATAGTATATTGGCTATTATGATATAGTAGGAGTAGTAATACACAATTATTGCTCGCCGTAAAGATTTAATCGTACACACGTTATTTATATACTTTTACTTATTATAATAATAAAAGGCTAAAACCTAATCTAAGCATGAATCGTTATTTATAACCTACGGATACTTAATAATTATTCTAACAGGATCCTAAAAGTTTGTTTTCCTACAACGTCATTGGACGCCGTCATACTTACAACGGTAATTAGTCTACTAAGCAAAAATATTGTAGTTGTAAGATTTAAAAATCGGTATCATCAGATTAATGACCTAATTAAAACAACTCATAATTTATGTACAATTTGCTAAATTAAAATAATTATAAATTATTTTATTACTCTATTATGCCTACCTAATTATGTAACTTATTAATTAATATATTGTAAAAACAAGATTATGTTGAAACAATTAAATTATAATAAATAATAAAAAAAAAAAGATTTAAAAATGTCACGACTGTATAAAGTCATCAAAGAGAGGCAATTTTTCGTTTTATCTCAGGCTATAGTGTTGTAAGAGTGAGCTTTTTAGCTTACAGCTGTTGTATGATTGCCACAGTAAAATAACAATAATGATAATAAAATTAAGTTATAAAAGACCAAAAACCCAAATCGAAGCAAGATGTCTCCAAAAGTATTATATTAGCAGCGGTAGCCGATAAAACGCGTTATGTATAAAAAAAACAAACAATATCATATTATCAAATCAATAATACAACGTTATTTAAAAAAAACAAAATTAACAAGCACACATCATCAGTTTGATTAAGTATTAGTTCTAAGTATTTCTTTTAAATACTTCTTTGAATTAATTAATAGCCAAATAATGAATTTTTCGAAAGAAATGTTTTTTCCTGGACCGAAAAATTATCCAAAAATGCTAATATTTCGAATACCAAATGATAATATAATAATTTTCATATTTTAAGTAAACAATATGTTAAAACTGTCATTACAAAAATTAGGGTAGGGATGATTTAATTTACAAAAAAAAAAGTTTGCGTTTTCAAAACCGGAAAAACTGTGAAAACGAAAATGGAAAAAAGACAGAATATAGGCGATAATTGACTAGCTTTAACGCAGGCGCTGACTAATACAGATGACGCCAAATACACAATTGTATTGGATATAAGGTTAATAATAAAAAAAATATACACGGATAACGTTTCGGTCCAGGATGCGGGATGTTGCAATTATTTTTTTATAATAATAATAATAATAATAATATCGTAGTAATAAAAATTATTAATATTATGTTCACAGAGGCATGGCATGCATATAGAAAGGATGGTTGTTGTGATGGTTGTGGTGATGGTCAAGCAGTGCGGGAAAAGGAAGCACAGTGACCTGTGCGTGGTTATTACCTGCTGGATATGAGAGTCCGAAACTAGGGTAACCCGAAAAACCTCGGCTAGAGGCATAAGCAGCGTACGCAGCTGCCGGAAAGCCTGTAAAATAAAAAAATAAAAACAATTAAAACTAATTTAAAAAAAACACACACACATAAAACAGTTGGGTTGTGTAAGTTATAGTGTACTTATAGTAATTGTAGGGCACATAAAGTGAGTTGACAGAATCATAATACTTATGTTATTTAGGGGTAGCTTAACAACACTAAAACTATGGGTTAAACTCTATTAAAATTAAATATAGTTGGTGCAAACGGTCCAACGGCTGAAATCATATCCTATCGATGTTACTGTTTGGTAAAATGGAAGAAAAAGATAAAGAATGTATTTTAATTAAATATTTTAAATGAGTTATGCAATAAATGACTAATATAAAATACGTATCTTTATTTTTCTGGCTCGATGAGCAGAAGACGTTCATTTGGGTTTAATTTGTATTTCAAAATATATTTAAGTATACACTTTAAGTGAGATTAAAATATCTTTACAATAACATCTCATTTAATTTCAGTGATAATTAGTTAATTGAAACTTATGTTAATGTTAGAACAGTTTGATTATCCTGTAAAATAAAGCTCTTTTGTAACAGAACAAGTTATATTCGGTTGCTTATAAATCAAGAGCATTGGATTTTTGCAACAACATAATTTGATTATAACATAGGCACAGCACTTTTGAGCCACTGCACACTCGAAAAGTCGTTCGTAGCGATTTATTTTGTACTATTTAAGAACATTACACCGTCTCTTCTATGCAGGCGGGATGTTATTTCTCTCGTGGCCAGTACGTTATCAGTATTTTTTTTATTACAATGCGTATTAAGAGCCATCGAGCCGTGTCGACTAGTCTGAGTGAAATCTGGGCGTACACGATATACCGACAAATAAAAAAACCGATTGGGACCATCGATAATATTACCGAACAAATTTGAACCTTAGAATAGTATGAATCGCGTGAAACGGATAAAAGTAATGGATATCCGAGAATTCGTCCTTGGGCCGTATACCGACGATTGGCACAGCAGGAACCGTTTGCAGTGTTGTGTTTACACCGAAGATTGATATCGCGAATTCATATTCATTATGGTGATTCGTCGTCCCTGCGCCCGTCCCCGCTGTTGCCATACATACCCTAGAAAGAGCTCGGAAATTTTTCGGATAAAACCGGGATAAACGTCAAATGTTTTTTATTTTTTTTTGTCATTTTGCATCCGGTTCGTAAGCACCGCACGAAAATGCGTTGAATCCGGCACAAGGGACAGACAGGTAAGGATAGACAGGCATACGCGGGGACGATCATCTGTCTTTGCAGCAGTGTCGGCCGAACGATGACTGTTAGGACGTACACGAATCCATTTGTCGGGGAGCGACGGCCCAACAGAGCGTGGCCTGTATAAATGCGTATTACGAATGCCGTGTCTTTTCTAGTGCTTTCGAGCAAAGTGACAAGGAGCTTAAAATGAAAAAAAAAACTCGGACGCCGGCGGCTGACAAAGTTATTATTCGTAATTAAAAATGGCTCCAGAAGAAATATATATATAAATTTATGTTTTACCCTCGTTTCGAGCAGCTAAAACAAAAGACTATAATAATACGTACATAAACTATGTACGAACAACTTTTTCAACCGACAGTCGTTCAACAATGGTATATATTTTTTGTTTAAACATTTTTTTACTTTAACCGGCAGAGTAGAAAAAAATATTTCTCCCCCTAAAAAAAACACGTTTTTTAACGTAAATGGCCATACGCCGCCGCCGTTGACGCGCTACCCGGTTATTAATTATGATTAAAATAAATCGTTTTGGCGACACTCGTATTGAAAGGATTAATGAGTATTATATTATGACGACGACCACCACCGCCACCGCCGGACACGATAAAGGAATTAGTCGTGTCTTAGAATAATTTGTTATGCGAACCCAGCGGCGAGTGTCAGCCCATCCGCCCCCGCATTTCCCCGTCGCCGGTACTGTCCTCCCTATAACGGAACGAGAGATGGGTCAGGGGAATTCATTTGTCATTGTCTGAAAACCCCCTCCACGTGCACACATACACACTCACACCCGCCATGCCATACCGACCAATCAGCCCTTAGTCTATGGTCTCTATTGTGTATAATATGTATGTGTGCATGCCCTAACCACCCCTCTTACTATACCGTTTCAGCTATTTCATAATGCATAGGGGAGAGGTAATGTTTATTATTTTGTAACGACGTTACACATCAGACTTGACGTGATGTGTTACTAATGACGCTGAAATCGGACAGCTCGGCTAAACTTTATCCAATTAATGACATGACGTCGCGCAGGTACCTATGCTGCAAATGCCAGAGCTTTAGACGGTGCTATGCAAAATTAAAATATCGAAATATTCAACCATAGGAGTATCTATTGGCTATATTATCATGTATATTTGATTTTTGTAATACATATACAATAAGTACACTTATATTAAATGATTATATACTCACCGTCAGGTAAGGTTCCCAATGGCCACATAAAATCTAAAAAAAAAAATACAAAAATGCATTATTTTACAAAAACAAAATTGGATTTACAATATAATAATTTATAAAAATTTAATACGCATATAGTATTATATTGAAATATTGTCATTCAATTTATTATGTGTCAATCGAGGATGGAAAAGTATTTTTTTGTTAATTATTAAAACGTGTACAACTTTCGAAACGGTTGGGTTTAGATTTGATTGTGGACATTATGAGAGCTTTTAGGACTAATCTACACACTATAAAGTATAATATAATAATAAGTAAGAGTGTGAAATCTAATTATAATAAGTAAAATTATACTTTTTAATGAAATTAATCTAGAACATTAAATTTTTAAAAAACCGTTAAAATAAAAATAATTAAATAAATCCTACATCAATAAATATGTAATCTGAGTACACTTAGTTAACGGTAAGAAAATAATCTAAAAATGTAATAATAGTTATAGACAAGAAAAGCACGTAGAATACTGTTATGTTTAGTAACAAAATAATAACTATAGCTATAGATATACCTACAAGGCTGTAGTGTTTTAACAGATTTATATAATTGTATTTAATTGTAACAATATTGTTTGTCCGTTGGAATTGTCAATGGAGAACAATAAGTGTGTCAACCGGAAACCCGAGGATTTTCCTATGCATTGCATAATATACACATATAGTATATTATAATACTAATAAACCGACTCGACTATCTAAACAAAACGTCGGTTTGTCAATACAATAATTAATATAACTAAAATACCTATAGCTTTCTAGTATTTGACTATTCATCAAAAACTAATCGAATAGAAACAATTGACGACATAATATAAGTTTACGTATAATAATTGGTATCTAATACTGCTATGTTGTACGATTCTATTTTTAATAATTAATACGAATTTTATAATAATTAATAACATTACATATACAATTTCGACGGATGGTCTTTTCGTTAATAATAATAATAATAATATATAAATGGATAGTTGTAATCGTTTTATAAATCATTTGTATCGTGGACGATCGACTCAAGTAGATAAGATGGACGTATTGTACAGTTTAACAATAGAGATAGGGATGATAATAGGGATGGTTTTTTTTAATAATGAAATATTATGTAGGCATATTGTTTTTTTCAAATGTTGATCAAATTAATGGAAACGGATTTATAAAAATTCCACTACTAAGTACATTTAAATATTATTTAAGAAAAAAACGCCACTCGCCATTGCCCCTCTAGTTGACTTCCACAACATATTAATGTATAATATAACATTGTATTAAAACAATTGGCTACACAGATGAGTATATAAAATTTTTAGTGTTGCACACTCAAATACTAACAATAGTAATAATATGTTCAGTTAAAATTTGTTAGGTTTTAATGTAATAGAACAGACGTGGACCTGAATACTATAGTATGAAAACTTCCCATATGCCGATGGTTCAAATATTATACATATACGGCTGATCGTATTGAGCTGTCGACAAAACGAAACTATAAGGTTCCCGTAAATAAGCACTATCGCGGATTAAGGGGGGAGGGAGAAGAAATATAATACTTTTTAAAAGCGTCCGCAGAATATTGATCGGACTTTAGCAGCAGCTTATAATGCCTTAGAAAGCACAAGCCGATTAATGTCGGCCCATATGACGAAAAAAATCCTATAAAATGTGTGTTTGGTCGTTAAACGAGATATTTATTATTGGTATCTCTCTTTTTTTTTTAATAATAAAATCACGCCGTGAGTTCTATATTGATAGAATATGATAGAAACCGGATGTAAACGGCCGAGGATGACACGGACACATAAGCGAGGGGACACCACAAGAATTGTCTCGGTGAAAACACCCCAAGAATATTAAACGTTAAATATGATTATTATGTTTTGCACGAGCACCCCGAAGCGTTGTAAAACATTTTTTTGGGTTTTTCTTTTTCTTCTTTTTTTTTTTAACCGAATCATGTAAAACAACGTTGTGCGATCATTAAAAATATATAATCAAACCAGCGTCAGCCAGCCAGTCTATATTTTTTACGTCATGGTGTACAGCATGAAGCGACCGTTCGGTTGGAATTGCGTTTTATTGTTTCGGATTCTTACGACTTAAAAGTTCTCTATACTGTATATACATGTACATATATATTGTAATAACCGAGAACCGCGGGCATCGTAAAAATGTAAAGCGCTGCTTTTTGCAAAACTCAAAACGCAAATCATTCTAAATATTTGATTACGGCGGTAAGCGGAACGAAATTGGAGTTCCGGCAGTGGCTTGTTCTAAACGTCATGCCAGAGAAAATAATATTATGTCTTGGAGGAATTTACATGGGAAAGTTTTCAAGAAGAAAAAAAACCATCTTTAATATAAACGGTCTATCACCTAAATGAATCGCACGCATTAGGTATGGCGCAATTCGCATTATTCATAATATTATTATAGTTATATTTTTGTTTTATAACGGGCTAACCGCCAAAGAATTCGCTGAATGTTTTAGACGCTCCGAAGCGAAAAATAGTATTACAACGATCATTATACCTATATTATTCAAAGTAAGTATTCGTTTTAAAGCTGATTAAAGTGTGCTGCCATTCTGACAGTATGGTAAAAAACAACAAAGAAAGTATATTATTATTATTATTACCGTATACAAAACCAACTTGTGAAAGATAATCGTAAATGTAATGATAATTACTCTAGTCTACAGATATAATATAGGTATATACGAGTCAAATATGTGTGTTATAATAATATGCTAATGATTAATATGTTATATTATTGTTAACTGCAGGCTATGTTCTAATGTCATCCGTACGAGTTCAAATGTAATAAATATTGTTTATTTTAATGTAATGTCAACGTTGACGGTAATATTTAATAAAACAAAATCTACTAGAATTAGGTTAATTGAAAATATAATATAACACAACGACAAAAAAAACAATTAATTATAAACAATAAATACCAACAAGAGCAGGCCACATCAGACATAGTTGACTTACGGTTCTATAGTACATGATCCACTTTTTGGTCGGTTTAACGTGGGCCGCAAAAGTAAAATAGTTTGGATTTTCGCTACAGGAGTCCCAAAGCTCTCCCGGACTTGACAAAACACACAAAGAAAAAAAGAGAGAGAATACCAGCAGACAAATAAAAGAATGATCAAATGCTTTGGTTTATATTTTACGCGTGGATAAAGAATATTAATAGAGACTAATATCTATTATTATTATTAAGTATAAAAAAAAGATTACGTATGTTATGATAATAATTACAAACAGAAAACAGACGGCACAGTTATAGGTACTTGGTAAATTGATATGGAAATAATTTAGAAAATCGTAAGTGAGAGGGGGGAGGGTAAAAGGCGAACGGGGGTTGTACTTTTTTGTTTTTGTTTAACATTTTTTTGTTTTACTAACAAAAGGACTAATAGGATAATGGTTCTAATGTTTAGTATACACAGGAAAACTAAAAGTGTTATGGCGGATTGAATGTGTTGTCTAAAAAGTTATCGGCATGGTCTGATAAAGGGCCGTGGGCATTTCGGCGGCTGAAGTGCCGGGCATGACACCGTGCATGGCGAAAGTTAAGCCGTCAGCGGCGGGCACGCCGAACGCGGTCATGTGTTGGGGCGGAAGATTTACCGCGGCGGCGGACAATCGGTGAACGGCACCGCCGCCGATATTGCCGGCGAAGAACCGTTTGCACGCGGCAGCCGCCTGCATGGCGCCCATCATGGGCAACCCGTGTACGGCCGCCAGTGCGGCCGACTGTTGTTGTTGGTGGAAGTGCTGATGGTGTTGCTGGTGTTGCGGGTAATGGTGCGACGGTGCCGGTAACGGGTACGGCGCGAACCGGTACCCGATGGCGGTCGGTGTCGGCGTGTGCGTCGCCAAGACCGCGGCAGTCGACGTCTGCAGATTGTGATGACCAGCCGCGGTCGCCATAGCCGCCGCCGCCGCCGCCGCACTATTTAAAGGCGAGACGATGGACGACGGCGACCCGTGACGGTGATGGTGATGGTGGTGATGACACACACGAGAACCCGCGCCCCCGTCGCACACACCCGCCGCACCGGGTTTTTTCAATATAATAAACTCACCGTAAGTGCCACGGCCAGCAGCTCGCGTTTTCGCCAGGTTTGCCGGCAACATCACTTCCTTCGGTTGCGCTTTTTTGCACTCCACCTGTAACCGAAAAATAATAAAAATTACGTTAATTTGGTTTAGATTATCACATAATAACAAAGCAAATGGCTGAGGAGAGTTCTTAATAGCTAAGCGCCCAATTTCTATCCCAAATTCTGGATCTACATTCGATAACATTTTAACGAAATTAGTTTGAACATTTAACGATACCTAGTGAATAATATCCGAGTTGTAAAATTTGTGACCGGCTTGTTATTGGTTATTAAACGAAGAATGTAAATTAAATAATTTGTTTTTAAACTCGTTAGCACGAGCCGTATTTGTATTTGACTATTTGCATTTTATAGCTAATCGATAAACCCCACGTATTTCATATTATGTATACAAAAACAGTAATGCAGCATAGAAAGTTTACGAGCCAGGTGCAGCCTCGCTGTCAACGTAATCAAAACTGTTTCAAGATAGTAAAACGTATCATTTGCTGGTCATTTCGTTAATTAACACTCATCAAAGACATAAATACGAATCACAATAGTGTTTATACATCATAGTGATAATATTCGAATCGTCCGACGCTATCCTACGAGTATTTTAGAAGCGTTCATGGCCAATATTAGTTACCGCAGTAATAATAATAACAATACTAATAATAATGTCAAGGTGCTTTAACGGTATTCGCCAAGCCACGCACATGACTGTCATGCGCTAATTTAATACCAGTACTCGGCTTGTGCGTTTAATGGACGGTTAATTCCAGAGATTACATTTGATGGCGGTGTTGGCCCTGTGTACGCTACTTGAGTGAAGACTGATAAAAGCACGCTTACGCCCTATCAGCTCTGAATATATTATGAGAAGTGAGAACCCGATAAGTAATAATAATAATAGTAATAACAGCCCAAGTTTTGACGGAAAAGCCATAACACCTGGTGGTCTCGATAAGCGTCATTCGCCCTGAACAGGTACACGCGCCTGGGAAATTGCGGTTATCATTGCAACAGCTAAGCGTAGAATAGTCCTCGACACGTCATATTATTATTATTATTATTATTATTATTATTATGTTACAATTATAATTTAGTCACTGATGCATATTATGCGCGATGGGTATACGGTACAACGGTGTGGGCGGTGGTAGCGATGGTCTAGCTCAAATTACGGAAGCCACGGTAAATTCAATTCTCCGGATTAGACCTAGGTTGCCGCTACTACTCAGCTTGCCTCGATGCTAATACATAATAATGTAACAACGATAATCCCGTTATAATGCCGCCCCAAAAGCTATAATATAGTACACGCATACACGGATAATATTATGTATTCAATAGGACCACACTATCGTTTCACAATATTATTTCCTTCCATTTTTTACTACGAACAACGGTTTTACACCTACAGTAGACGGATAAAAGGCAAATTGCTCGTTTAAAGAAAACTACAGATGAATACTCGATTGCGAAAACGGGTAATTGCGTACTTAAGACGTCCATTATATTTAATTTTTTTTGTACGTTTCTGGTCTACACAAAAACAACGACTCGATGAGATAATAATATTTTAATATTTTCCAAATAGTCATACAGTAGTAATAAAATAATAAAAAACAAAAAAATTAACGAATGCTACAATAACAATCCGTTAAAAATATTATTAGTATTTAGTGTTTCTATTAATTTGTATAGGAGTTATACATAACCTAACCGTAAGGAGGAGTTAACTTTATACAGCACAGACGCTCGTTAAACACTCGACGACAAAGAAGAAAAGGGAAAAACACGACGTTGACGGAGATCCGAACAAACAAGTAATACGTTATATTATTTACCTAAGTGGATAGTGCTCGAGACCGAATAGCGCCATTATCATAATATTGATATAAGATCGTCTCCAGAAGACTCTAATCAAGTAAGGTAAACGTGAATTATAAAACAAAATAGTGCAATTAGATTGCTATTTCTAAAATTAAAGATTAACAAAAAAACAGCGCAGAACGCTCGATTAAATATCTATTATAAAATTATAAAATAAAATGAGTAGATATATTTTATGTAAGTTACGAATTTTCAAAATCATTAAAGCTTTCAAGTGGCTTCACATAATAATATACATAGGAAATCTAGAACTCTGTCTGACTAACCATAACTTTGAGCGTTTCCCACAACGCATTGTCACGATATAAGAGCTATGCGCTCAAAGCTTATTTCATTAAATTGTGATTAGGTAGCAACAAAAAAACCGATAACTTTTAGCCGTACCCACATCCCGTGATGTAACTCCTCATATTTTTCTTTTCGCGACCAACTTCAGCCGTGTGCCACCTACAATGTATTCTATTGTTTCAGACTCCTTAATGTGCAATGCAGTAGTATCGAGTAGATAACTAACAAACGTCTGTTACACTCAACTAAGTTTTATTAAACAAAACGGTAATTATTTATGGATATTGTTAAAATATTCAGACGGAAAACGTTTTAGAGGTGTCAATTTCAACAGTAGGTAATGAATATTGAATACTTGGACCGATTAAAATATTTAAGTATCATCCTCTCCCCCGTCGCCCTCTCCTTTTGTGCTTAAAACCACCACATTTGCGTTGCTCGCAGAGCGTGTTTGAATATTTTTTTTTAGGTCGGCTTGGAAAATCGTAGCGAGCTTTTGAGGTAAAAAAAAGCGTCGCAGAGCCATAAAAGGAAATCAGCATTTCAAAAGAAGCAGTCGGAACCGGCGCCGGGCAACGAAAGAAATAGATGCTATGGAAAGAGATAGTGTTTGTACTATAGGTATATTATAATATGGCAAATACATATGTATGTATACCCTGTATGAATATATATATATATGAATTTATTATACGAGCGAGAAGACGACGAAAGTCGATTTTTAATATAATACGAGTGCGTTTGTGTTTGGAGCAAAGAGGGCACACACAAAAAAAAAACAAGCAAAGGCAAGAGAGGGTGCGTTGTATTTTTGTAAAAAAATTATATGTGTATATAAAACAGTTGTAGGAGTTGTGTTTGGTATAAGTCGGTCACCATCTATCATACAAGCAAACGACACGCGCCCATTATTCATAGGGCAGAATGTTTGCAGGCTGTTCTTCTGGATAAAGGTTACTTGAAGCGTGTGTGTGTCTGAGCGACGACCACAACAAAGGTCATTCATGCATTTTACAATTTATATATATACCTCAGGCTTTGATACTGGATTTTTTTCCTTGCCTTTTGTTGTCGTTCGAGTCGCCCCATCGACATAATATTAATATTAAACTTCCGCACTGCCAGCCGGGGACAACGCTAACAGAAAAGGCCACAAACGGCTTTTTGCCAACCACGCTAGGTCGGCCGGACTGGAAATTCTACTTCAATTGTCTAAAATCGTAGCATGCCGTCAACTCTCTGCAGGTACTGGTAATTACCATCCGGTCGTTTCTTTTCACTTCACTTTTATGTATATTAATAATAATCCAAAATTATAAATTTTATTGATAAACGGAAATGACTGACAACCTAATAGCAACAGAAGGTTTAGATTTGTTTATATAGTTTCAGAAAACGTCATAGTCTTCATAGGCAGATATTTTGTTCAGACCTACGCAGTGATTGGGGGGAGTTAATACTTAATTTCATAAATATAGGTTTTACGTAATCGCGACGTTTAGGAAGTCTGAAAGTTTGTAAAAATCCAAGAAGACTTAATTCCTTTATCAAACAAAAAAATTATATAATGCTGATGTATTGATTGATAAAATCTGCTGTTAATTAAACTACCAAAGTGGTAAATTAGCTGATATCCTGAAAATACATTTAAGTCAAAGACAAAATACTAAACGAAATTAAAACCTATTAAACGCTATCCATGAAAATACAGACTATATCAAAGTCGATACGCAAATAAATTATGCGGCTTATAGATTTAACGATAAACAGAAATACTTAAACTTTTTGTATGAAAAGTAGAATGTATCGGGAAAAAGATTCGTGCAATTATGGTCGGTTTTCATGTTCGACGGGTTTCCGTTTTTTATTGTACCATAACAAAAAAATAAAATATTTATACACATAACATTTCAACGAACGATTTCCGAACTTATAACCCATTGTCATTCGTCTACTGCGAGACAGTCCCCGAGGGACAATGCCGAAGGCACATAAGACAACTCGTCTGATTTTTAAAAATGAGTTTTGCAACTCGTTTATTATATCAATAAAATGTTACAATCGAATTTTTAAAAAATTATAAATAACATTTTTTTTCGTTGCCTACTAATTTTTAAATTTAATTTTAAATTCGATAAAGATACCGAGTAAACTATAGCTTCCCTTCTTAATTCTAGCAATATAAAATTAACAGTATTTATTTATTTAAAAAAAAAACGTTTAGTGGGAGTCACAGACTATGTAATTGTTTGTAAAAGTTTCTATGAGTATTTGGTTTTTCATTGTTGGCATAGTAAAATTATAGACGTTTTATAAAGACACGACACAACCAAAATTATAAACAACCTGAGTATCAAAAAAACCATTAGCAAAAGTACTAAGTTAAATATTGTTAAAAATAACAACACCAAATAATATGTAAATAACGCTCTAGTGTTTATTATTTTAATTAGGTCGATTGAAAGAAAACAAGTATACAAAACTCGCGTGTTTAGAGGTGGACAAAAACATTTTGAAAATTTCTTTTGAACATAAAAAAACATTTATGATTTTTTAGAGAAGTTGGATAGTCAAACGTCAACAAAAGTTTACAAGTACTTCGTGAAATGCAAGTCCTCGTTTAATAATAATGTATACAAAAATCATAATTATTAGTACTTAATAAAGTTTTGTAATAAAAACAACGTAAATAATGAGACGTTTTTGATAATAGAAGGTTCAATTTTTTAAGGTAATAAAATAATATAAACATGTTATATTTCTGTTGGGGGTTTTCAAGTTAAAAACCAAATACAAATAAAAGTTTTTACGTTTAACTGAATGCGTATGTTTGTGCTGGGGCGGTTAGCCTAAACTCGAGTTTAGTTTGGCCATTGTTGTAAATAACCAAAGCTTAATTATTTTCATAAATATCGATAAAAAAAACCGAGAGGTGAAATACAAAAACGGAGTCAGCGATAACGGCGGCGGCCGCCACGACAACGGTGCCTACGTTTGGATTATTAACAGCCGAATTTATTTCTTTTTTTTTCTTTCACATAACCATTAACCAAAAAATATTTTATACAATAGCCGTATACGTTTTTTATCTTTTCATTCAAACCGTTTGTTCCATTGCACAAACACACGCTGGTGTTACAACATAACATTTATATATATATATATATATATATAGTATGTATTATGTGTGTATTACTCAACGCTCGGTGTGTGTACATTTATATGAATACATGGATGGCCGTTGGAGTTGTGTCGAACGGGGAAGATTAATTAATTTCAACTCGATCGGGACGCGTCGATAAGGTCCCTCTCCTCTCTGCCGATCCCGTCACACCACTGAACAGCAGCAGCATGCGACGGCGGTGTAAAATTAAATTAACCCTTCGAAAAACATTAAAGCCCAGACATTACATTAATTACCGGAAAACAATTAATAGCGCACATTATCCTTGGACACCCCCTCCTCGGAACCTCCCGCCGCCGCGCTCGTCCCCTATACATATATTATAAAATATATACATAATAATACACCTTTCGCAACAGCGCTTTACTATGCTGCGGCCACGGTTTAAAAACGACCTAAACCGTTTTGTAGAGATTAAAACAATTCCGCCGTGGCCTATCCGGTCGGCCGCTTTAGGAGAGGTGGTAAATAACGATGAGCAAAAAAAACTATATATATATATATATATATACGTGTATAATAATAAAAACACCAAGCACTCTGCTAATATCCCTTACGTGTAACCCTTTCGTAAAAGATTATAGCACACAGCCATCCAGAGCACTCGATCTTCGGTTAATGCTCTCACGCATTAATAACTCGTTACGGAAAATTTCGTATTTTTTTCCAACCTCGCGTCCCCCTCTTTACCGGGCCGCCATTTATTTCCGCGTACTCTCGAGCTCGGTACGCCGGTCGAAAGAAAAAAAAAATTGTCAACCCAGCTTGTTTAACATATTCAGGTCAAGTATGCGCACACGTGCTCTGTGTGTGTGTGTGTTATGAAACCCATCGTAACGTTCTACGCGTTGTGCGCCCGCATTGGGAACAGCCTATTTCACTTCCTTTGCTCTTGTTATACCACACAATCCGGCAGACATTTTCTTCGAATTAAGATGTATAAACTATATACTACCACCCCACTCGCCGTCAGCTAACTCGAAAGTCAACGGTTATTTGATATAAATGTACTGTGTGTATATACGCAGTTAATCCAATACAGGAAACGCCATAACCTCGGCCTTAGCCTTTAATTACTTAAAAACTTTTCTCCTTACTCCTTATATTTGGCCTTTCCTTTGCCTAACGAGTAGGACCGGCAAACTTCACTTTCTAACAAGTATGATACTTCGGGGTCTCTGCAAAATGAAATACACTAACTTCTTATGTGATGTATCTTTCTATCTACTGTTACGGTTACAAAATCTATCCTGCCTTTTCTTGCATATGTCCCACTGTTGTTATTAGTGGGAAGGGGCGAGTACAGATAGATTGTACAATGTATAATGCAATATTAAGACGTTATGGGCGCATTAACGCTGACTCGCATCTATGCCAGCCGTTAGGAGATAAATAACACATATAAGTAAAATGTACAGTTTCAAGTCGAGCGGTTTTTGGCGACGAGAAACAATTATTTTTGACAGGGCAGTTTTTTTTGTTGTTGACATGAACGTTAACTTACCATTTTACTGTTGATTTCGTGGAAATGTATTTCACAGACTTTGTCTACAACATCTTCCGAATGAAACGTCACGAAACCAAAACCTGAAAAAGACAACAACAAAATACATAAATAAATAAAACTCAATAACATCAGAATTATAATATCATCACACTGTACAAAACATAGAATATAGATAAAAGATCTAAGCTATATTTCTGTCAACTTATTTATATTGGTGTAGGTACATATTGTGAAATCATTTGGGGATTAGTCGGTGGCGTATAACGAGAGCGAGTAATTATTACGATGACGTGGTAATTCGGTTATTATTAATACTGTGATGATGAAACCGCATGAGTGGTTTTTTGCTAATTAAGAACACACACATAATAAATTATATTCGTTTTTTTTTAGCGAGAGAGCGACTGCCACCGGTACTTTATTAGGCTTACGGTTAACAACTCTAGGGTGCTCCACTCCAATCGATAATGTTAATTAATTCAATTACGTCGCCATCCTCCACGGTGGTGTGTATATAATATGTACAGGCTGTAATCTGGATTTCTAGTCGCGCGTTGCGGGCACCGACAGAGTGGTTAATTAAATTGTCGTTATAATATATTATTATGATGGTATCGTATAAATTAAGAGTTGGCCTAGGCACCACAGGGCTCTTGACGCTCGGTGCAAATTATCTTAAAGTGGTTCATATACATTATAATACAGTTTCCGAACGCTCTAGTATCACAGTCAGACCGAGTGAAAAGCAAACACACACGAGTTACGATGAAATATGCGTAGGTACTCGCATTTAGCTCATCCGAATACGCACTTCAGTATTGTATAAATTACTGTTTGTCATTCTAAATTTACGGCAACTTTGGGTTTCAGTCAATTATATCAACAATAGCTCGATAATGTTATTTTTTAATACTTTTACGATTCAAAACGACTGGCCGAGGACCAATACGGTTAGGTTAGTACATATTATTGCCTGTCAATGCACCTTAATAAATACAAGTGTAGAGGTAACACGGAAGGTATCTATCGATTTTACGGTGTATTCGCCAACTATCAATTATTATGTGTAACGTCACTTCTTACAAAAATACTTAAAATTACAATGATGTTTATATTTGTAAGAATTTTAATACTTTTTCCTCGGAAAGCGTCGAAGATACATCACTATAGGAATTGCTAAGCCGGCGCTTCGGATAGGCAAAGCAACGACACAGGCGCGTATTATGCTTAGTATTATCGCCTAACGGGGTCATCCGCAACAAGATGATAATATTGATGTTACAGAAGCTGCTGTTATTGTTAAAAGGTACTTCCTTATGACAGATGCCAAGATAGCAGCTGTGGCGTACTGAGCAAACCGTTTTGAACGCGTGTAACGATCCCGCAATGGTTAGGTTCCAAAGACCGACCGTGCAGCTTTCGACGACCGCGCGTTCAGCAATTAAACTTATTTAGTGAATCTCGTTTTGCACCGCGACCTCATTAACCGTTATATACCGCGTATAATACGTATAAATATACAATAACACTAAACTAGTTATAACAGTCACTGCCCGGCGGGGTTATAGTACATACTATTGCCGCCGCCGTGGTTGTACTCGTAAGAAGACCACACTTCTACGTACTTGGGTCTGATCCAATTGTAATTAAGGTTTATAATAGGGCACGGCGCAAAGCCGTCCGCGAGGCAGAGTAAAAGTTAATGAGTTCCCGGTTAATCGAGATCCAGCGAGTGCTGCGTGCCTCAGCGATTAGCCCAAATAACCGCCAAAAAGTAAACAAAAAACCAGACGACTTTGTATGCAATAAATGACTAATACCGTGCCAAATACGCGAAACCCATATTCATGTACGTAATAAGCTTAACAGGGAAGCACAAATTCCAAAAACAGAATGCCGGCCGCCGTTTCGCTTGACTATGTCGAATTTACTTGACGGAAAAAATATAACACTTCAGTTTAAATGGAAACAATACACAAATTGCAATAAAAATGAATACTATAATGTTGTTATAGTGTTAATTTTTAAATTATTACAGTATCGAATCGGAGCTAACCGATTATAATACCAAAATGACTTAAAATATTTCAAAACTACCATTATAATAGGCTTAACAACGTTTCGAAATATAAAAACAAAACAAGCACTCTATTTCAAGATTGTTTTATTTAGTTCAGTAGCGTTTTAATTAAACCACGAACAACCGAGGGTTGTGCAATGAGCATTGCAACAGTCATTCTGGGAATAAGTATGTATATAATACACAAAGTACGTTGCACGTTTGGGTTCTACAATGTACGCCGTTGTTGTTATAATCGCTTAACAGGGTTCGGCACGTCCTCGACAAATAAACAACAGCATAGTGGTACTAATCGACACGTCGGCAAAACGTAATGTATGGTAAGTCGGTGCAGGGAAAATACCATTAGAGTTAGATTTTTACACTTCGACGAAACGCGCGCGCAAAACGCTTAAAGAGTGCTGTCGAGAGATACTGTCGCATCGTTGTGTCTGTCGACGTTATTATTTTGAAATCCGCTTTAAGGGACAAGAAAAATAAGAAAAAAACACCGACCGGTCGGTTGAAGAAACCCTTCAAACTCGGAAGCGAATTTCAAAAGATTGTTATTATTATTACTTTTTTTTTTATATTAAAAGAACGAATATGCACCGAAAGAAATGTACGGCCGAGGGTTAGGTATTTTTTTTAATTTAAATATTATTATATTTTCCATGCGGTAAAATCACTTCGGATTAAAAAAAAAACTATTCCTGTGCACAGCCGGCAAGAGACGTGTTAAGTATTTCAAAAGTTGACTGCGAAAAAGTTATTAAACACTCGTCGAAACCACTTCTCGGTGGCGGGCGCGAAAATGTCGCGTCAAGTCTTCTCGCGTTATGAGTAATTTTCTTCTTTTTTTTTCCTCGCCGAAACTTCAAACTAATATTTTTTCTTTTGTAGAACACTCCAAGACTGCGGATAAAGAATTATATACGCTCTAAATACCATACAGACACAGTGTCAAATCGAAATTGTCAGTTCGCAAACAATAAAACTCATACAAGATCTAAGCCGCATAATATGGATAATAGTATTATATTTTTGCAAATAATATTATACGAGTGAGTTGGACCCTTTTTGTATTTTTGCGAGGCGGAATTTCAATAGTTTTGGTCGGTTATGTTAGGCAATTCGAAAGAGCGTTCAATTTTTAAAATATTAGAACCGTATAGTATATAATACCATTGTACGGTATACGGCGATACAGCAACACTCGACTAACGTTCTAACTTGTATTTTGTTCTAAATGAGAACAAACTTAAACGTCTTAATGTTAGTACACATAATATCATGCCGTGAGTCGTACCTGCTACAGGCGGTCCGAATGGCTAAGGAAGTATTATTATTTAACGTCCGGGACGCAGGCGTTTTTAACGGTTTTGCCTTTAAGGAGAGCGCACATAACGGTTATGTTAAAACGCCGCGAGAAGAGTGATGCGGTATAAAACAAAAACAAGGCATCGTCTGTTGTAAAATGAAAGTTTTTAAAGAAGTAACCCGGAGGGTCGCACTCGCGGAGAGACACCGGTTTTCCCCGGTCAGTTTATTGCTTCACGGCGGCGGTTTTAGGGGATTACATTATTGTTATTATTATTATTATTATTTTCGAGCGGACCTTGCTTTGTGTGTGTAGGGCACGCAACGACAAAAGACTGCGTGTTCTCCTCTCCTTCCCGCCACCCACCTCCTTACGCTTCCATTACCTATGTTTATCCCTCGTATACACTGCATCGACGTAACGACCACGTCGTTTTGTAAAGAGTTTTTCTCGACAATACCGTGCGATTCCTTTCTTTCGGTTTTAGAAACAATGGCGGCCGTACGATTTTTACTTACACCCGTACATGACACACGCTCACGCATGAAAGCCCTGGTCACGTTCGAGTCGGATTAACACACGCCGAACGGTCTTCGTCGACAGTTTGCCGTGGTCCACGGATATTGAATTCGGTAGAGGTGCTGGATGACAACGGCCTTTGCCCCGAAAGCATTTGAAATTACATTTTTGGTCGCACAACCAAAAAAACGTCTAGGAATTTTCTAAAACGCTCTGCCTTCGATACCAGGTGAATGGCATCTGGCAATGGTCAGATTAAATCTGAAAGTTAACATCGTAGAAAAACAAGTTAGCGTGGCTAGTAGTTGTCATAAATAGACAGATTTGTATTCTAGTCAGTCTGTGTTATTTTAACGAAAAACAAAAAAACAATATGGTGTTTTTTAAAGCTCTGTCGCTACCATGTTATAGTATAACATAACAATCGCGTTAAAAACCGTACGGTTTCTAATCCAACATCGGAGTACGGATTATAAAAATAAAAAATTAAATGCCATAGAAGTACATCTTGTTCTTCTTCGATACGATTCCTAACTATTCGCTCAAAACGGTCACCTACAAGTTACAACCTCTACACTAACTATCTTTATGTTATAAATTATTGTCAATTAACATTTTTTTCCCTGTCTATTCCTCCATACACGTTTATTCCCATTACCGCTTGTACTGTTTCATTTCTCTCTCTCTTCATAATATAAACCCACATCTAACTACCCTTTTATATGACAAAACCTACTATTAATTGGAAAATTGAACTAAATGGCACCAGACGGAACGGTGAGATCGCAATCATAGATAGATTTAGAAATTTGTGAGTGATTTCAAAAACTAATAATCAAGGCGGTGCACGAACGGCAGCCATGCTCTGCGGAAGGGTTGCTTTTGTGTGCGTGATAGTAATTATTATTATTATCGCTTTTGGCTGCTGTTTTTGTCGACAGCCGTGTTTTTTAAACTTATATGTATCCGACCGTTTAAATAACGCCGCGTCCACTAAAAAACATACTGTGCACCGCCTTTCGGGGTTCACCGCGCACCACAATCTCCGTCGTTCGCACTTAACCGTTATATATGTTATTACACACTACTTTGCCATTATACATCTGTATAAATCCGCGTCCGGTATAATAATAATAATAATAGTAGTGGTGCTATCCAAAGCCAATAACGACCGGTATAAT